TTGTTCTTTGGAGCTAGGATCTTACTGTGAGCTTGCAGGATTTTAAGGGACCCAGCCTGCAGGTGTTGCTACTAAACCAAATTATGAGCTCTGCCTGGGCGGGGAAGTGCAACGCGCCAACCTGCAGGAGCAAATGGATATTAAGGTGGTGCAGGTTCTTCCACCTCCTGTTTGTTGCTTTCTGTAGTGATATTCCTCAGCTGTCAGTAAGTTATTTGCTAAGAGGTAAAAAAGGTGATGGTTACTGCATGTACTCTAATACGAACACATAAAGCCCTCCTTTGTTCATGACTTAAAAAGCCACTGTTTCTTGCTTATTGTTTGGTTATCTGCACGTAGCATGGGTCACCCTCAGTCTTTCCCCTCCATCTTTTCCTCCTACCATCTACACACTTCTGCCTTATGCTGTTGGTGTCTCGCCATAACTTAGCCATGAAGATCTTTTTTTGCAAGACCTAGCTCAGTCCAGCTATTGTAATAAAAATACGATTCTTACTTATATACTGGGATATAGATGTTCTGAGACAATCAGTTTGGTGCGGTATATTATAACTCTCCTGTAAGCCAAGATTTGGTACTGGTGTCTCCTACCCCACCATAACTTCTGCATGGATACACTTATTTTGGTTTTGTTCTTTGTTCACTCTCATTCACCATCACCTGGGAGATAGAGGGGAGTTTGCACTGGTGATCTAGCATTTGGTGCTTATTCGCTTTTTCACACCTCTACCATAAGCAGTGTCTAAAGCCAATATCTTGTTTCTTTATGGGCTGAGAAATCTATGGGGAAAGGCTTTGTATTACTCTGTTCTCAGTCATTTTGAGCCATAAAAAGAAGCCTCATCCATTCCTCTTTAAGGTCACTGCATGCACTGAGTTTTTGTGTTCCTCCCTCCGTCTTCTATTGTATACACTCATTTCTTCTGCTTCTAAAACACTACCTGACATGTGTTTCTACCTATTCTCCCCTCCCTTCAGCTAAAATGAAAGCAGGATACTCACTCTCAGGGGAAGAGCAAGTGTCATTTTTAGGAGCACTCACTCTGGGAATGTTACCTGCCATATGAAATGGAGATTCAGAGGAGTTCTGTCAGGGGGAGACTGGTTGAGGGAGGTGGTATAGGTTACAGTACCGTGTGGCATGTTGTTCAGAGGCCAGCTGGGAGCAAGGTTGGTAAGATGGTTTGTACTCAGTTTGTTCCCCTATTAAAATTTTTTTACCAGTAACTCAAATTTATTTTAATGTTTCTTACTATTAGTATCATATCAGTTTGTTCTGATTTCAAATTCTGCAGAAAAGCAGAGAAGAACAGCTGAACTGTGGTATTTTCATGTTGCTTCTGAGATTTGCCTACAGTTTTGATTAAAATCGGTTGATATTGAGGACTATGGAAGCTGCTGTCTTCTCCAAAATGCAGCTGAGTAATGCAACCTTCCCCTCTCCTTAAAACCTAGAGCTAGACTGCATAGAATAATTTTTTGTTTCCAGGTTTTGAAGCTACCCCTTCTTCTCAGGTGCCAAACATTTTCTTTTTGTAATGCACAGGCTATTTGTTCACTTCATTGCAGTGACCTGGTATCTGTGAAGGTGTTTCCTTTTGCCTACGGGCAGCTTCTTAGCAAGTAGGTATATTGTGCAGTCATTTCTAAGGTTTACATATGCGGGCACTGAATTCAGGCATGAAAGCCTGGACGGTAAAATATGTGTCAAGATTCTGCACGAAAACCACAGACTTGTGGAAAATGATCTGAAGCCCCCATACTGAGCAGTGTGGGGAAAATGTGGGTTACAGAGCAAAGCACACAGAGTGGGGGTTTGTAATGTAACCTTGTCATTCAAAAAAGCTGCAGTGTGAGACTGGGAGGACATGGTCCTGTGAACATTTCTGCATGTACTAATGTTATATGTAAGTAGCCTCACTGCAGCTAATGGGAATATTAGAAGTAGAGCATATGCCTACACTCTTGCAGGACAATAGCCTGTGTGCTTCTTCCCCCTGCAGTTGACATAGTGCCATGACTTGGCTGTGTTACGAGAGCTTACTGGAAAAGAAGATGTGAGTCCTGAGAAGAGCAACAAAAACAATGAGGGGGCTGAGTGAGGGGAAAGGCTGAGTCCTTGGTGATAACGTGAGAACTGAGACACTTTGCAAACTGTACAGAGAGAGAAGGGAGAGGGATTGTGGAGGGGTGGCACCATGGGAATTGGCAGAGAGAAGAGGAAATTATGAGTAACAAGTGAAATAAAGACCCAAATATTTCAGGGCTGATTCGCCACTGATAGCAGTTAGCTTGGGGAGCTGATATTTTCTTATAATTTGCGACATTTTTGTTCTGTTTCCTGTCAGTCTCTGGCAGTCCTAAAGGGCATTGCTTCTGCCTAGAAATGGACAAATCATCCACGCTTTGCAGTAAGAACAAGCATGCACTGGCCTTTGTTGGAGGGGCTGGCAGGAGCCCCCAGAGCGTTTCCAGCTCTTCTGTCTGAAATATTTTCAAAGTGTCTATAAAATATTGGAGCCTTGAATTTCTTTTGGAAAGAATTTCTATGTGATTGCCTGGATTTTGCTAGTATAGAGTAGTGGTAGTGTTCTGCAAGGGGTTTGGGAATCTCTCCATGGAATTCAATGGCAATGAGATAAAATCAGCACTGGAGAATCCAGGAGTCTTCGGGAACCTGCAAAATGGAAGGGGCATCACTGATCTTGGCCGTAAATTTACAGTTTTTTCTAGTGCAAAAAGAGATCAACAAAAGCAGAAGGGAACTGGGAAGTGGAGACCCCAGAAATAGCTGCCAAAATGAGCACTGAGTGAAGAAATTCAGTTTGCAGCAAACACCTTCCACATTTCTGCTGTCAAAAGAGGATAAGGATCTGACCTTCTTCTGCTGGAGGGAATGCTGCTCCATGGGTGAGGGCAGCTCTGTTCCCAGGCAGTTCTTCGTTTAGATGTGTTTGCTGAGCAATATTCATAGTCTCCTGCTGAAAAAGATAAATTAGCTCAGGAGAGATTACACTGTTTCTCATTCGCATGCTCCTTTGCCTGGACTAACAGGGCATCTCTGCACAGTGCTTCATTCCTCCCCTTGGACCAGTCTCACCAGTCTGTTCCCTCCTTGGTTGCTTATATACAGGGACTTTCTCCCATGTTGTCACTGAGCAGGTTTTACCAGCTGCCTCCACAGGTCAGTCTGTCTGTCCGTGGAGATGCTTTTGTCCAGTAATTGCATTTTGCTACAAGTTTTACCAAGACCTGGGAGCCCCTGCAGGGAAGAGCCAGCGGGATAGCGGCTTCTACTGTGTATTGTCCCTACAAGCAGAGGGGGGAGAGATCTGCCCCAAGCTGCCCAGCGACGTGCTGGTGAGGCATTTCTTGCACATGCCTCCTCATCTAAGGGACAGCCTGGGGGCCTGTTGCTGTAGTTTCCCTTTAAATGTCTTTGGGAAGTTTGCTGTAGTTGGAGAGCCTCTCTGCAGGCACCTGCTCCTTGGGCGGCTGGGGAGCTAGAAGGCACAGCTCTGCTGAGGCCGGCCAAGCTGTCACTGCCTTTTGCTGTAGCCAGGCTCTCGCGGCAGCCCCTGTCCCGCTCAGCCTTCCGCCAGGCAGCCAATTAGCGAGAAATCCCACTGTGTGGCCAGCTCCGAACGGCCAGCGCGCCAAGGCCCGGGCTGACCCGTGCCCTGCTGCAGCTGGGCGAGGGCTGCCTCCCACCCCGCCGGCCGGCGAGCCGGGGGGATACGCAGTGGACGTTCGGCAGCTGAGAGCCTGTGAAGCTCTGACAGGCGGCTGGACAAGGGGCTCTTCAGGAAGACCCTGCCCAGAGCCCCGAGTGCCATAGGTGGGAACGTCTCTCCAGCTCCTGAATATTCATCTCAGCTTGGGCTGCAAAACGGGGCAAAGCCAGGCCCAGCTGCCTGCTGCCTGCTGCCGTCCGTCAGTAGCATGGCCGCGCTGCCGACAAAGCCGGGCGCAGCCTCCTTGCTCCAGTGCTGAAGGGGCCAGCTCTGCCCACGTGCTGTGCAAGTGAAACCTCTTCCCAGGGCCGAACCACCAGCTTTTCCACGGTCTGAGGGCTCAGGGTCACTGGAGAGCCTTTGTGGCCTTGAGTTTTAAAGGACCTCTGTGCTGCTGTACTCTGTCCTTGCTTTGCACCCCCAGTTACTTTCCCTTCTCTTCCTCTCTCCTTTTTTGCTCTCTCCATCTCTAACTGTTTACAGTACTTTGTCAAATCAAAAAGCATGCAATGCTCTCAGAGCCTTGCTGCTTTAGCAGGATTCAGTGTACGCCCAGTTCTTCCTCCTCTCCTCCATTCTTGAGCATCCTTTTTAGGTGCAGTAGCTGTAGCCCTTGTGCTGGGAATACCCAGTGACCCAGATGTCAGCCATTCCAGGGTCACACTGGAAATCATGAAAAGGTTTATGACATTACAACTAGATGCATCTTCCCTAGTCTTTGTATCTGCTACACCACCAGCACTTCCTTCCTCAGCTATCAGGAAGGTCACAGGCCTCTGCACAGCCCGAGACCCTGCCAGCGGCAACTCAACATGTAGTTTTACATGGCTTCTCTCAGCTTTTACCCCACATTTCATTTCTAACAGAGTCCAGGTGACTGGCGGCTGAGCCGAGAAAATGATAACCCATCTCATAAGAAGCAAATTCTTGCCAGTCTTAGGATGATGGCAAGTAGGCAGCAGGGTTTAGCACAGCTGGCTTCTTTCAGCTTCAAGGTTGTGTTCAAATGCATGGTCTATGGCCTATAGAGTCCTACTCAGCCCAAATCTGCTCCTCTTGCAAGATTTCATTTGACCCCAAGCTTCAAAGCTTTATTGCCTTGTTTTAATATTAAACAATATATTTTTAATCATTGCTGAATAACTCCCTTGTATTTTCCTCTAATAAGAAACAGGCTGTTTAAGATCTGTGAAGCAAGGGAACCTTTGTCTCTAGTGAGAGGAGAGCACAATGCTCCCCACTTACTCCTGCTTTCTCTTGTTGCAGACATTCCCGTGATCCCTGACTTGGAGGAAGTCCAGGAGGAAGATCTGGCCATGCAAGTGGCAGCTCCCCCCAGGTAAGAGCACTGCCAGGTGCTCTTGAGGCTCTAATCAGCAGTGCGAAATGGCCGGTGAAATTAAACTCCGTCTTATCTCATGCTCTCTGGATGTCAGCAGCAGTGCCATTCAGCAGGATTTGGTGCTGTGTATTGTGGCAGCAGGGCTCCAAGCTGAACAGTGCAAATTTCTTGTTTCCTGTTACGCGGAGAGAGCGATTACTGCATATTCTCTCTCTCTCTCTCAAAACCCTACATTAGAGTAACATATTTGATGTTGCAAAATCGAACTCTCGAAAGTGAGGAATTGCTTGATTTAAGGTTGCCCGTATAACCTCAGATGCCTCCAGTACACATGCATTATGACACACACTTTGATTATGCATGGTCGTAGGCTGCTTTGCCCTCTACAGGATATCCTTCTTACTCAAGTGCCTAGTTAATTTGCAAAGTACAATCCTGTTGTTTGAAGGTGTTATCAGAGTAGTCTTGGGGTTAGCTCAAGGGAGACCAGCAAGCTTTAAAAAATGAAAGTTTTGGGGGTTTTGTCTTAAACATATCAGGGAAGTCGTCTCTCCTCTGTTGGGCCTATTGCCAAGATCACAGACTGGGATATCTGTTCACCCTTATTTGGAGGGGTAGGATATCTTACTCCTGACCACAGATGCCTCTCTCACAAGTATGGAGTAGTTATTGTAATTAAATAGCTGTTGACAAAAACAAATGACACTTTATAGTAGTAAATTTAAAATTACTTTGTCTCTCACCAGAGTTCATTTCTTTGTTTTCTCTCTTTTTTATAATCCCATCTGTTCCTTCTGTATCCATAGTCTCTCTGCAATAGAAAAGACAAGTGATTTTCATGGACAAACACAAACAGAAATTAAATTAATACATGCCTTTTCTATAGTATTGCATCACCTGTGAAGGGAATCGTGGCACAACAGTATATTACTCCTCTACACTGGGTTTCTCTTTGAAGGCTACATTTCATGATAGCTGTGACTCAGCTCAGATATGGAAATCACGAAGTCCCTACTATTCTGTAGCTTGTATGGTGGGGCTCTCAGAGCCTGCTTTGCTATGGCGCTGGGGCTCTTGGGCTCTTTGAATGTTCACTGTGTTCCTGTTTTCTTTCTGGCCATTGCAGCTGGTCTGCGGATCTTCTCTGAGCATGCTGGCTTCTCTGAGGGAGTCAGTGGTTGCTCCACATCCTATTTTTATGCACATGCACAACCTGGCACACAGATTTGTAAACGACTGTTCATTTGCTGGATGAGATGTGCTTCTCTCTGGGGACATCCATCTCCAGAGTCTGCATGGGCAATGTGGACACTCGAAATAGGTGTCACCAGACTGCTGTTCATGCCACCCTTCTCCTCAGATGTACTTCCACACTTACCCAGGCTTGTACTTTGACCCTTTCTGGTTGCAGTGTGCAGGTGAACCGAGTGCTGACCTACCATGACCTGGACAAAGATCTAATGAAGTATGCTGCCTTTCAGACTCTGGTAAGTGGATGTTGCTATGGGGTGACTGATGTGGCTCCCTATCCTTCCAGGCTCCCATCATCCTCCACAGTGATAGTCAGCTGCATAAAATAGAGAGCCCTATCATCCAAACGACTTGCAGTCTGCCTGCAAGTCTGTTCTTCTCTGCAATGTGGCTTTCATACTTGTTTGTGTCTGTAAATAGTGTGGGTGTGGTATCTGCTACTCAGATGAGGCTCCTCCTGTTGTCCTGGACAAAGTATATGTCTCTTATGAGGCAAATGTGCCTGTCTCTAGTGAGACCTACCTGGTGAAATGATGGTGTCTGCTTTCTCACTGTCTGTAAGACTGTGACTCTGTGTGTGTGTTCATAGGATGGAGAGGTTGACCTGAAGCTTCTCACCAAAGTTTTGGCTCCAGAGCATGAACTACGAGAGGTAAGTCTTTCTTTTGTGGGAACACCAACAAGGCAAAAACTTCTAATGTGTCTCAGACTGTAGTTGGAAAGTAAACCTTTGTCAGTGAGGTGAAGGAGAGAGGTGAGGAGGAACTTGTCCAAGCTGATGGAGGTTTGATTTCCCCAGCAGTTTATTTTAAAGCTGTATAGGGCTTTCTCTGTGTGAGATTATGGCATCACTATGATTGGCCTCCTTCAGTATGAAAGAGCTACTAAGGAAAATGTGAAGGGCCTAGCACTGTCACAGATCCCTGCAGAAACAATGCTCTGTTGTGTATTGTCTTCTGGTAGCTACCATGAGCTTCAGGTGGTTCTACAGGGTGGTACAGAGGGACAAAGGCAGAAAGCTTTTGGGGTTTGGGCAGAGGGATTTTTTAAAATCAGGACAGAACCACCTCAATACGGGGTGGGCAGGAGCTCAGGACTTGCAACAAAGGATTTCTGCAGCTCAGAATTGCAGATGCTTCAGCAGAAGTGTGGAAGATTTTTATGGCTCCTCTTTAAGCCCTGCCTGGGAGTAGCTAAGATTAACAAGTATCAAAAAATCTGTCCTTTATGGAATTTTGCATTATGAATAATTGTGTCAACATCTTTAAATTGTAGCAGGGATTCACATTTCATTCTGGCTAGATTCCTGTCCTAGCCAACTGAATCTGCGACTTCCCTGGCCGGAGCAGTTACCATTTAGTTTCTCTCTTTGCTGTTCATCTTGAATATTTGGCATCGTTCAGAGACCTTTGGGTGTCACCAGTAACATTTCAGCATGTTTGTCTTTTTTCCCTTGGTAGGATGATGTCAGCTGGGATTGGGACCATCTTTTCACAGAGGTGTCCTCAGAACTAGTGACTGAGTGGGACCTGGGACAGTCTGAGAGAGAGGACCACCTCAGCCTGCCCTAGAGCACTGGCACACCAGACATCTCACACGTGCATGCCCTGTAAATAGTTTAGCACTTTAAATTTCTATTTGCTTGTTTGTATTTGAGAATTTATTTCAGACATGAAAATAAATAGGGCCTTGCTTCATAGGAAAACTGGCTCAGGAGAAGTTTTGGGTATTTTGTAATAAGAATCTTTGTTCTCAAAAGAGATTAAGAATTCTAAACACAATAAAATACTTACTTATGAACAGTCGCTTACACCTCACTAACACCTTTACAGATAACTGCAATGGTCGATCTTTCCACTAAGGAAATGTAGCCTCTCTGGAGTGGACCATCTTACAATGGAGTGTGGTTTTCAGTGATGGCTATCAGAAAGCTTAGGCCGATATGATTTGTTTGCCTAGGACATCAAGATTACCATCTTCCTCACAACAGATGCCACAAGTTGTCAGGATATTGGTTTTATATTTCATCCAGCAGCCTCCAGCCATCCCCTGCTAGTTTAACCTCTCTCCTGGAACATTACCTCTGTATTGACTCAGAGGAAGCAGCATCACCTATTAAACTGCCAACACCACTTCCTACAGCACCTCTTTTTTCCCTTGAGGTTTCCCAGCTAAATTCTGACCAGGCCTAACCCCGCTTAGCTTTTGCAATCAGATGAGATCACAGCCTGAATGGAGATAGCTTCAGGCAATAGGTAGTTTGCAAAGAAAATACTGTTTATTCTACACGTGTGAAAGAATGGAGCCTGCCACTCTGAAACAGGGTAACTCCCTTGTGGGTGTCTCCTTGGAACCAAGTAACCCACTTTTATTGTCATCTAAAGAAAAATCCATTTAGCTTTTAATGCCTTGTCCCCATAGAACCGTGGTCATTATTTGCAGGAAACAGTAACATTACTTCTAAGCCAGTGTCCTTCAAAGTCTTGTCCCATTGGAGAATCTTGCTATATACTTCTGGGGGGTGGTGCAGGTGCTGGAAGGAAGGCTTGCTGTGCTGCTTTTCTTAGCTTGTTTGATCAGTCCAATAGAGCACTGCATTCTCACTCTTGTACTGACAGCAGGACAGGTCAAATAACTCACTGTGAATTCAGTACTCTGCAAAATTTCAGATCAGAGTTGATATGCCAGACAATTCTACCAACAAGAGAGAAGCATTTGGGTCCCAGTCTGGGGCCACCAAAATAAGGGGAGGCTCATCTGTCTCAAGGAGACACTAAGTTTTTTATAGCCAAGAAATCTGCCCTATAACTAGAAAACCAGGTGAGACAGAAGCCTGGGAGGCCAGCGTATGGAGGATAATCCCAAAGTCTTTGTCTGAGCAGAGAAACCTATCTTGGTATGAACAGAAACTTCCCAGCTCAGCTAGCATCTATCTTTCTGTGACAACTATGGTTCTTGTCCAAAGATAATTTAGAATGCTTCCTACTTTCCAGGGGGGGAAAAAAAAAAATCAGCAAAATAAAATAGTTTAGTAAATTAGACAAACCCAGCAAGCCAGTCTGAGAGGAAGAGAGTGGTAAATGCCTCCATTTGGGGATGGGACATGGATTTTCTCAGTTCATCCCTCAAAGATCACAGAGAAAGCAGAGGCACTCACTCTCCTCTCAGCTGCAAACTGTAGGAGCATCTAGTGTGGGTTCTCTCCCTTCTACTTGATCTGAGGCTCTAATCCACACTGCTCCTGTAAGCTGCTTTGCGTGGTATCGGCTTATTAAGTGGTATCTGCTTCCACTGAGACTCTAGCCTCTTTGAAGCATGAAGTGAACATAACTTTCTGTACCCTGAGAATGAGAGGATAAATTTTGGTCGTTGCAGCAGTGGCCCAAACCAGACTACCAGTACCCCCACTGAAACTTGGGTCTCTGCACCATGTCCCTACCAGCGAAATAACTGTCTTCCTACTATGATGCTGCACTTGCCTCCAGTTTGTTGAGGAGGAAGGCAGGAAAACAACATGAGCCGAGAGAGAAAGGGAGGCTGACATGTGAGCCCACCTTCCTCCCTTCAGTCACTGTCGCACAGCATAGGAGGCCTTGCACTTTTGGGTGGCCTCATAAAACCATGCAGTCACCCAGTACAAATCAACCAGTTTTCAAAGACCACAAAAGCTGAAGATGCCCAGGCCAGAGGCACAAGAGTGGGGGAACTATGAATCCAGTGTCTCTGGCTGCCCAGCCTGAGGTATGGTGTGTGATATGGAACCTATTATATGTTGCACTTTCTTTAGGGTCTTGGGGAGGTGGCATTGCTGGCCACGTGGAGCATTAGGAGTGGATAACTAAGCAGTAGTTAAGACTGCAGCCATTGAGTGCTCCGTCAGGAGTCATGCCAAGCCTATTGCTCCTCTAGCAGCTGTGCGGTGCACCAACAATCCTGGGTTGTCTCCAGGAAGGCTCGCAGATCCATCTTCTGCTTCCAAGAGCTGCTCTGATCATCCTGGGCGGGCAGAGCACTCCTGTCTGGCTGCTCTCCCAGCAGGGAGGAATGAGAAGTGGAACTGTGCTGTGCAGTCGTGCTCAGTCCCTCAGAGGCCACAGGGGCCCTTCAGGAGTCAAGAGGAAGAGGAAAGCACCCCTTGAAACAAGAGCAGGAGGGACATCAGACCCCAGAGATCCTCCCGGAGATGGTGAGAGGTAGGAACGAGGGAGGGCTTGGGGAGGGCCATTTGAGGCAGGGTGTGGGGAGGACAGGGCCAGGAGCAAGACCGGGGTTTGTGGCAGAGGCAGAGTAGAAGCAAGAGGAGCAAGGAGGTTGAATGATTTGGGAACAGAGTTTGCATAAAATTTGGAGGGGAGTGAGGCCAGAGCAGGTGCTGGTGGAGAGCCGGGAGAGAACAGAGCACAAGAAGACCATAGTGGGAGTTGAATGAGGCCTTTGCTGATGAGCTGTGGTCATGTTGTGCTGGAGGAGCTGCTCTAAAGCTGCATAAAATCTCCCAGAGGAGTGTGCTTGGGGCTGGGTGCTGTTGGCTACCCCCGTCTGGCTTGAGGCCCTGCACAAGGATGCTCCGAGGTGGGAGGCAAGTGTGTGGGGGCCAGGCCTGTGCCCACTCTGGGCCCTCGGGAGCTGAGCAAATACATGGGCAGAGTTTGAGAGCAGGGCTTGAAAAAATCACAGCCTCATCTATTTTAAGGTTGGAAGAGGTGGCTTTGATCATTTAGTCTGACCTGCTATAATACAGGCCATGGCAGAGTCCAGTGAGATGCGGCTGAGCTTTGCCTGTCTTTTAGAAAGGCAGGCAGTCTATTTGAAAATCTTCCCTGGTTAGTTTTTCTAATAGATAATTGCCCTTATGGTTCAAAATCTGCTTTATGTCTAGACTCAGTTTTTGAGTTTCATCTTCTGTTCCTGAGCCTGCTTATGCTTTCACCTTCCCAGTTAAGCCATGCTGTCAGATGTTTTCTCCTTGCTTCAGTATTTGTGTGCACTGTGATCAAATTGTCTCTTTAATTTCCATCAATAAACTTAATAGACTGAGACTTGTTTTCCTGACTTTTCAACTCCTTCCCCAGCTGGAGGAGGGGAGGTGAGTGTCTGGCTCCTGGCCTTCCTCCAGCAAGCTGTTCCCACCCACCTTCCTTCCACCGTCATGTTTTGGTTGCAGTGCTGGGAAGGTGAATGAGACCTCTTGCTTCTCCTCTCTCAAGCCCTGGTCCTGTCAGAGGAGAACCTGCTCCAGTTACTCTCCTTGCTAAAAAGAATGATGAGGTACTTTTGCATGCTTAAGCCAGCTCTTGGCTTGTGGTGATGCACCAGTGTGTATTGGCTGTGACAAAGCTGCCTCAGGAACCTGCATTTCTGAAAAGTCCAGTGGAAAGAGTGTGCAAAGGAAGAAATGGCAGGTGTAAATTTTTTCTTGTATCCTGCAAAGGTGTAGCTCTGGTTGATCCTCAGGTGAGTTGAGAAGTGAGAGCAGTTTTCAGAACAGTGCAGCTGGCTCCTAGGAACTCAGATCAGCCCTTCGGGCTGTGCCTAGGTGAGGAACAGAGCAATAATCCCTCGCTGGTCTCCACAGACCTGTATCACAGAGGGGTAACGCAAGGTGCAGTGGTGTGCCTGGGGCCACACAGCAAATCTGTGGCAGAATCAGGGTTAGAAATGAGGAACTTCGGGTTCCCGATTCAACCATGGCTTTCATATAACTGGTGTTTCCCATCTTCAATTCAAAGATTGCAATTCAATGTAGAGTCTTGTGTCCTGCTTACTCTTTGTTCTGCTCTGTTCACGCATTGCTGAAGGAGAGCTGTAAACCTGTCAAAGTGCGTGTTGTCAACAGCATGTTTAGCTCAGTGAGCTGATCTGGGGTGTCTGCCCAGCGACTTGTTGGGATTCTGGATGGGTGTAAATATCTACCCACAGATAGCCTCTTGCAGGCCCAGAGCTCAATAGACTACCTGAGCAAATGGTGAGCCTCATCACAGGTGAAGTAAAAGAAGTGCACAAAGGAAAAATTAATTATAGGTCCTATCAGTTTTAGGAATCTCTGGTTCTGTTTATAATAATAGAATATTTGTAGGCTTTCTTGGTGGATTATAGACTTTCTCGGTGGAGATGTTTTACTAGAGTACAGTTTGTTGGGGGGGGTCTATTGGGGTAGAGACAGCATACACAGGGCTGGGAAAAAATGTGGAAAATAAAAGCTGAAAAAAAGGCCAGACCCAGCAACTTTCCATTAAAGAGCCTGCCTGCCAGCCAGAAGCCTGTTAAAGGGACTCTGGCTGGCTGTTCTATTAAGTGTGACAAAGTGATGGGAGGTGAGGGGGAGCTCCTATGTTAATAAGTTGGAAAGGCACCGCCGTTCCTCTCACCGGAGCGTCTCAGGGAAAGTGGAATTAATTCATGGCATATGCTCCCAGCATCTGCCGCAGTGACCCGGAGTGGCGGGAGCGCGGCGCCAGGCAGCGCAAGCCAAAGCCCATATTCCCCGCTCCTCTCCTGGGCCTTGCTCGCCGCCTGCCCATGGCTGAGCGTGGGGGTGGCATGGCCGCTCCGGCTGAGCACACACCCAGCCACCCTCCCGTCGTCTGGCCTGGGTGGGATGTTGATGGCCGTGGCCAGAGTCTTTCTCCCTCTGAAGAAGGAGACGTGCTCTAGACTTGGGAGGTAGAAGGGGATGTTTGGATAGAAAAGAGACTGATT